TATTCTATTGATAATTAAAATATGATAAATAATTTTAATGAAAATATTTAATTTAATTATTAATTATTTAAAAAAAATATTAATTAATTAAAATATACGAGGTTAATTATATACAATAATTACTTAAAATCACAGGCTATCATGTATTTCTTATCTGTTTTGTTGCACGGTAGTGCCCTTCTACCTTGTCATTTTCAATTGTTCATTAATTACTTACAGCCGTAGATTTCTTTTCTTTTTAAACTGTCTACGACTGTTCACCCGAGATGGTGCCAAACGATAGCACATGCTTTGACCCACCCTTTCCCGGCCCTACCCGATTGACAACTCTCCCGACACCCAAACAAACCAATACGGAAAGTCCGTCTCCGATGTAAGAATCAATAAAAACAAATATGAACCTAATTATGTAAGTAATTAAAAAACGTCATATTATTCTTCATTCATATATACGTATTTTCAGACAGAACCATTTTTTTTTCAATATATGTTGGAACCTTTTTTTTTAGAGTGATATAACAAAATTCCAGATATTTTTAGATAAAAATTTGATTTTTTTTAATTTAAATTAAGTTTTTGGACTCATCATCCTGCAAACCATAACCACATCCTCCATAGACGTACCCACCACCACAACCTTAACGAAATGGACATCTTTTAACGTTCACAAACACACATTTTCATTGGCTCTTTCTTCTTATCAATCATCAAACCAAACCAGACCAGACCTTCCTTCTTTGAGCTCTAATGGCTTCCATCGCTTTATCTCTTCCAACCATGATGAAGTTGTTAGCATTCATCGTCGTCTTCTTCGTTTATGTTGAATCGATTGATCAACAGAAACCCGACAATGGTGTCATTATCAATGTCACAAAACGCTTCTCTTTTCCTGATTTCCAAGGGCCAAGAACTGCACATGATCTCAAGCTGCTGGGAAGCTCCGTGGTGGATGAAACGGGTCGGGTTCGGATACCAGATACGACCCAAAAAGACGTTGATCTGAAACACTTGGCTGGTCGTGCTGTTTACGCGTATCCCATTCGTGTTTTCGACCCAGTGAGTAGAACCCCGGCTTCCTTCGAAACGACTTTCGCTTTTCAGCTTGAAACCTTGGAATCAAACTCGTCGTCTGGTGACGAAAATGGCGGTGACGGTGGTGGAAGTGGTTTTACGTTCATGTTTGCACCTGACGAGTTCACTGTGGGACGGCCTGGGCCGTGGCTAGGCATGCTAAACGATGCCTGTGACGAAGAATACAAAGCTGTCGGGATTGAGTTCGACACTCGTGAAAACGTTGAATTCGGCGACCCTAACGACAACCATGTGGGGATCAATTTGGGTTCCATTGTTTCCACGATCACTATTAATGCCTCCGAGTTTGGTGTTAACCTGAATGATGGTGAAATACACAGGGTTTGGGTCGAGTACAGTGGCGAAAGCCGTTTCTTGGACATTAGATTAGGTTCCGACCGCCTTGGTTATCCTTCCAAACCTATGTTTTCCGACCGACTCGATATATCGGATTTCTTGAAAGAGTATATGTTCGTCGGATTCTCGGCGTCCACCGGAAATTTTGCACAAATTCATAACGTGTTCTCATGGAACTTTACTTCAACTAGTCAAGCTTCTCTCCGTGTACCCTCACCAGAAACCTGCGATAGCAAACTCATCACCGGTGATGGCGACGACGGAGGTGGCGCACATATTAACCGACTGAATGGTTTCTTTATTTTCATGACGGTGGTTTTGCTTGTAGCTCTTGCTTTGGTGAGTTTATACTACAACCGAAAGCATAGGAGCGGCAATAAATCAAACGAGGCAGTCATGCTGCCGGCGGTGAAAGAACGGCCTCGTCCGCCAAACAAACCACGGCGGTTCACTATTGCGGAAATTTCATCGGCAACTCGATGTTTCGATGAGTTACACAAGGTAGCGAGTGATGAAAGAGGTGATACATATAGGGGCACCTTATTAAACGGGTGTCACGTAGCGGTGACGAAGTTTTCGACGAGTTACTTGAGGTCTCACGGTGTTTACTGGCGGCGTGTCGGTAAAGAGATTAAGGCAATGAGTAAGCTCCGCCACCCAAATCTAGTGGCGATTAGAGGGTGGTGCTTTGACCACCAAGAGACCATGGTGGTTTACGACTATGTACCAAATGGGACCTTCAACGAATGGCTCTACGGAATTGGTGTCTTGCCATGGAGCCGAAGGCTCAGGGTGGTTAGAGACGCGGCTCAAGCGTTGAGTTACCTCCATTCACAAAAACACGCTCACAAGAACGTGACAACAAGCAGCGTATTCATCGACGTGAGTTTCCGAGCCATGCTCGGTGATTTCGGGTTTGTAATGTCGGGGACGGAATCGAACCAGTTCGAGGCGGCAGTGAGTCAACCGGCGGATGTTTTTTCGTTTGGGGTGCTTGTGTTGGAGGTTGTGGCCGGTAGGAAGAGGTACAAGTCAGAGTCTGACCTCGATGGGTCAGACTCTGACCTGGACCGGGACCTATTGGAATGGGCATGGATCATGCACGAGATGAAAGAAAAAGAAAAGGTTGTGGATGGGAAGATGTGTTCGGTGTTGAACATGGATCAAGCGGTTCACGTGATGGATATCGGGCTGTTGTGTACTTTGCAAGAGAGTAAAGGGCGGCCGAGCATGGCGGAGGTGGTGGAGTACGTTAGCTTCGAGAAGGAGGTTCCGGAGCTGCCGGCGAGCCGACCAATGGCTTTGTTCCCGTACACGAGCACGACGGGCCTTTGTAGTAGCTCTTACATGTGTCCTTCTTTCAAGTAGTAGTTGTATAGTATAAGTACTATAGTTTGTATCTTGAACCCTATACCTTCTTTCAAGTAGTAGTTGTATAGTATAAGTACTATAGTTTGTATCTTGAACCCTATACCTTCTTTCAAGGGTGTCAATCTTGTAGCAAAAAATCAACCAATTTAGTTGGTTGATAGTATCGTACTAACTATCTAAATTTGATTGATATGTAATATTAGAAGTCGTATACCACGATAATACCGTACGTTACCGGTTTATTTTTTTTAATTATTTATTAATTGAAGTTTAATAAATAGTACCAACATATTTTGATTTTCAAAATTTCAATTATTTACTTCCAGTTTTGCTTAATTATAAGGATATACAAAACTTGATTGAATTCATTCGGCTAACACAGAATCTTAGGATCAAAACAGCCTTCCGCCTTTGACCGACCCTTGAGACGGACCTTTTTAGTGCTGGTCCTCGGTCTATATCGGTCCAAAATCAGTTAACCAGTCCTTTATGCATCTCTAGGTACATTACAAGGGAACATAAGATGAAACAAACATGGGTGACACAGAACGCTGTACTAACAACTACTAGAATATAAGAAAAGACTACATCTGACTCGGTATTAGTGCCGGTTTTCACAATATAGCATAGTAAACGAAGAAAACAAATGTAAGTTCTTAATTCTGAAAGAAACTTTTGTTCTAGAAACAGAACCAGAAATCATGCCTTGCTAAATCTCAAGTATTTGTGGCCCTGGTATAAATTTGTTGGCTAGCATGAGCGGATACCATTCTAATAGCACCTCTTGCCATCAAATCCTTGATCGCCTTTCTTGCCAACGACCCATTAATCTGAAATGAAACAAGATGTAAATTGGGTGTGTAATATTATTGGAGAACTTAATGATATCCTTCACGAACAACAAAATACTCGAGTAGGTTTGATTGTGTAGGTACGGGTGAACTTTAATGATCTGAGAAGATGTTTAAGGAGAGAATTTGGCGGTTACCCTTAATCTGTCTGACAAGATGGAAGGAGTGATGAGCTTGAACTTTGGAGCTTCAGAAAGAAGCTTATCGTACGTCGCCTTGTCAAATAGAACCATGTTGTTCACCTTCTCCTTTTGCTTTCCTTTGCTCCACTTCTGCAAACCAATTCGAAAACAATCGTAAGCTTCATTCATAAGTCGTAACAAAAGATTAAAACTTGAAATTACTCGTTGTATTGCAATTCGAACATGCTCAATTGGAGAGATGGGTGGTTGGATGAGTGAAAAAGGAGCCAGCTCTCCAGTCGATTGTAGTCTGTCTAAAAATCATTCATGCATTCAAAATTTCATATGTAAACCATCAAAAGTTCAGGCTGATATCTTTACTTGACCACCAGTCACCCCCCCCCTGCAAAAACAAAATCTTCCAACAATTTAAATGATACATGGCCCAAATCCTCAAACGAAAAGTTACTTCAAGCGACAGCCAAAAATATATCGACATTCTACAGTCATGGATAAATTTATAAGCCAAATTACTTGACCAAGGAATCACAATTAAACTTGATGTGTGGAACAGATAAGGCTTATGAGAAAACAACATCTGTACCGTCTCATTAAGCATTTAGATACAACTCTTAAAATTGGTAATGCATTAAGAGTTATGAATGGATACCGGAAGGTGCATGGGTTTCCGAAACCCCATTGATCTCTTTCCCAAAAAAGAAATCAAAACTATTAGCATATTTCAGTCATCTATGTATAGATGTGAATGATTATAAACGCCTGTAATTTAATATTGTTCAAACATAAATTTCTGATTTTATTTTTGAATGAAGATTGCAAAAAATTTCCATCCTCGATTTATGACAAAATTTTACATCTTGTTGCTCGCATGTGTACACAACTAATGTTTGTGTTTGTGTATTTACAGGAAGGTTCAAATGAGAGTGACAAAAAGGTTAAAAGGTGATAATAGATATCAACCGTGATGTGATTAAAAAGAGAATCACAACCACCTTTTTTAAAACAAAAAAGACGCCATGCCCTTAGTTTTTAATGGAAAATTGGCAAGATACAACCAAAATTGGAGCCAAACAATTATACCAAAAAACAAGCATTTTATTCTCTTTAATTTGGCATCCATATTGTTATACTTTTTCATCCATTTTTCGTCTTTCTCACCTTCTCTACCTTTTTGTCATATTCTCATTTGGACCCTTGGTTTTAAAAAGCACAATGTGGTCCGAGGCGGTAAGGGTCCCGAAAGCCGATGCGGATGCGCTCGCATCACACACGTGATGCGCCCGGTATTCAAAAAATACATATAATTTAATTTTACATATCAATTTCTACCTTAAAAATACTTACCTATCAAAATACTTCATTTAAAACATAAAGTAGTTCAAAAAGTGGCATTAGAATCTTAAAAAGTTCGTAAATCGGAATGACAAAACACACAAACTACTACCATGAAGAACACAAGTAAATGTCTAATAGTCCCCAATCCCTAAACTAAATGACCAAGTGACCAATAATACTCCCCAAGATCAGCATCATCAAACCCCAACACGGGTTCATCTCCCTCATCATTATCAAACCCTCCAATATCTGCTTCCACCTCAACTTCATCATCTTCATCCTGAAGAACATGTCATTTTCCTCTAGCACTTCTAGTTCTTGATGGACCCAACCTATCATCATTTACTCTCCCTCTCTTGATGCTCTAGTGAAATGAGGAGTCTCATACGCCCTGGAAGTTCTACCTACGTCATCCCATGTAAGATCATCATCAATAAACACCAAATCATCATCTTCATCATCATTGTCCATCCTCTCCATCAACCACTAATTACTTTCATCTATGTCTTCTAGAATGATAGGATCACTATTTCCCTCTTTTTTATATCGACGTTGCAAGGCACGATTGAATTTCACTTGAGAGGGGCTTCTATTTTATTAGGTCATTATTACGTTCTATTTTAATCTACAAAAAGCCCAACTAAAAAACCCAACTAAAAACCTCTAAATAATGAAAAAGGAGCCCAAACATGAAACATACAGGATGCGCTGATGCACGCTTCGTGTGATGCATAGGTGACGCGACCGCATCAGAGAGCATCATGGAATCGCTTCGCATCAGTCCCTCTGATGCATTACCTTCAGCGCATCACGCATCGGAGCGCATTAAGCGCGCATTTTTAAACCGAGTTTGAACCTGCCCAAATATACATATATATGAAACATCAAAATATCAGTCCCCTCAAGTGGCATCTAGACAAAAAGCATCCCCTCATAGCTTCAATTAGTTGGGGTCACATTATCATAACCTAGGAGAAAAGCATACTACCATAGCTACAATTAGTTTGTGTCATCATCATAACCTAGTATAAAAGCATACCATCATAGCTACAATTAGTTTGGGTCACATTATCATAACCTAGGAGAAAAGCATCCCCCGTGGTGTTGGTTAGCAACTAAGCATCGACTAAACTATTTCAAAATACTAAGTAGGAATCAATCGACTTTTCTCAAATTGTGTTCGTCGATCAACTTTTCTAAACTTGTTTGGGGCTCTCTCAAATTCTTCCTAAATAGTTGCCATTAATGGAGCAATGAAATTAGTCGCCTAGAAAACCAAGTGTATACATTTTTTATTTATGTGCAGGCTTAAAATTTCAGTAATTGTATCCACATAACTGTTTACAAGATCTAAAAATAGTCATACCTAAATAAAACATTATGCTTCCTCTTAATAGCCATGTACAGACCAGATAGAAGTAGAATTCAAATGCCAAACCCTATTTTTTCAAGTTCATAGCTTCCAAATTCATATGAATTCCACAATTTCTCAAGAAAGTCTGCTAACTAAATTAGAGTTTAATAACGAGACTTACAAATAAAATAATGCTGGTCTTGAATTTGAAAGAAATCCCATAACCAATCTTCCTAACTGGTTTTAAGTTTTAACAATAAAAACAAAGTGCAGCTCTTCAATTTTGACCAAATATTACTTACAGATTCACAGATCAAAAATATATCACAAGCCCTATACCATATAATGCCAAATAAAATTCTCCAATTCGAATATCAATACCTTAACAGACGGCTTAAATCCCAAATATAGCAGAAACAAACCAGCTAAACGAATCAAAGTCATACAAGTTTCAGAAATTGACCTTCTTTTTCTGCTTTCCACCGCCGGACTTGGCTGGCTTGGACGACGGAGGGGGGGCTTTTTCCTTCTTCGGCGCCTGAACAATCAAAGAAGTATAAACCTTCAGATGATTTGTACAATAAAAAAATCACAGAAAAGAGAAAAAAAACTAAAAACGAAAATGGTGAATGAAGTTGTATATTTGATGATTCTGTTATCTTACCATGAAGATTTAACTGTTAAGATTGGCCTGTCGTTCGGCTAGGGTTTCGAAGCACAGAGGACGAAAGTGAACTGCGTTTGGGGTTTTAAAAGGTCAAAATCCAAAAAGAACCAACTGATTTAGAGATAATTATACATTTGGTCCCTGTGGTTTACACTTTTTATTGGATTTGGCACTTAAATCAAAATAATTACAGATTTGATACATATGATTTCACATGTACTTGTACATTGTAAACTTGGCTCTGATACCACTATTGGGTTGTGATAGAATCTGAAAGCCATAAAACTAAAATAAAACAGCAAAAGCAAACACAACGAAATCACAACCCTTCAGAGATCTGGTTACAATCTTATACAAGTAACAAAAAAAAACAAAGAGGGCGATTAGAAATACCTTTAGATGGAAGTGAAAAATCCAATAATAGAATTTTCTCTATCGTGTTCACACCTCAAAACTCCAATTATTCGTAAACAACAAGAAACTGCCTTTCTTTTCTTAAACGAATCACCGACACACACCACACTCTGATATGATTATGTGTTTGGCCCTACCATTAATATTACGTGCTCTATGATATGCAAGAATATGCTCACAAATCAAAGAGGTTTCCTACTTGAATCCACTTTCTTAACAAGTATACTTCTCATCGTGTCGCTTATATATCTTGCCTTCTAAGGTGTTTTCAAAATTTAACACATACGTATCATTTTGTAAACCATCATATCATTGTAATTTTTTTCATTATAAAAGCATATCACTAGTTTCCACTACGGCACCATTGGTATATTTACTTTTATAACAACTAGCAATAAGTCATACTTCCACTACTTATTCCGATGTTGTTCTTAAACTCACTTGTTAAGCCTCAACTCTGCCCTTCCATCCCTTGGATAGACTAGAAGAGTATTTTCGCAATGTAGCGAAACACATCTCGATTTTTATGTTCTATTTTATTATTTGTCTCTGTCTATGTTGTAATACGATTTTATGTGTTTTTAAGTAAGCAATAATGATTTATTTTTGAATAAAATATAAATTTGAAGATATCATAAAAATTTGAAAAAAATATATCAATGTTAATATCAAATCAACTATTTAAAAGGTCTCATTTTTTATGTAATTTTTTTTAATTTTTTCATTATAATTTAATTTAAGTTTAATAATAAAATATTTTTTTTGGTTTAATAATATAACATTTTATAAAAAATAATAATTAAGTATTCTGTTAGAACTCAATGATTATCCTAATTATATTTTAAATTTTTTATATTTAAAATGAGATGTTTATCCTGTAGTTGATTATGTTTATTTGCAGTTAGTTACACGAATTCATATATGAAGCTTTAATAAGTTGTACTTACGCACAATCTACTTGCAATCTTGAGTTTTAAGTAATATGCATTAACAAACAGTACTTTACGCACAAAATGTGGTTTCTAAGAATTTTTGTTAAATGCTTTATAATATAGTATAGATAAAAATGGAGGGCAGAGCTTTTGGTTTTTCATGTTGTCAAAGAGTCGAGATGCCTTGGTGGTGAAATGGTAGACATGCGCAAGACTCAAAATCTCATGCAAAAGAGACCAAATTACACAAATTATGCAGTAATAAGAGCATTAGTACCAGTACTGTCGAAAATCATATTATTCACTCGGATTTTTCTTTCTTTAAAATGAAAGTGTACCCATGTTCAATACAATGCCCTTTTTATAAAGAAAAATTCAAACATAACATTAATACTTATTAATCGATTGCATGAAATGAGTTTCTTTAACTCAGTATTTATCTATGTCTCATCATTATTGTCTTTCAAGTCCACATGTTCAGATGTATATATTTTTCCATGACTAACTGTTGTTTGGAGCCCGTGTCGTTTCTAACTGACTAATCATCGTTTTACCATTTAATATCATTCATCTTTGTCTTAATCGACTTATTGTTAATCGATAGATATTAATTTCTTTTTGTATGCCAACTAATTATGGGAGGCCCGATACTTTTCTAGCACACCAATCATCTCTTGAGTTTTGTGACAAACATGATTCTTTTGACTTCCATAATTATTCTCCACTATAGTTTGTAAGGCCCTCAATGACTCTTATATATATATATATATATATATATATATATATATATATATATATATATGGGATTATGGGATACTATGGTGCCGTTTACCAAACACTTACTCGGGTAAGTGCTTACTAAGTCATGTTATCGTACCAGATGAATACGGTAAGGACCAAAAATCTTATCCGGCAAGTGTAAGACAAGGATCATGAATCTTACTCGGTAAGTGAGAGTGATGACTCTTACCACGGTAAGCATTTATCGGGTAAATTGTTGCATAAGATGTCGTTTTGATGGACTAAAATCTTACCCGGTACGTAAATAATAGTGTTAAATTTTACCGGTAAGCATTTACCGAACAAGTGTTTGGTAAACGGTCCCTATGTGTACTTACAAGGCAAGTGGCACTACCAACCACATCATTACTAGCTATTTTCCACCTTTTTTTCGTTTAAAATTCAATGCACACCTCTTTCAATCTTTTACCTTAAAAAGACATTGCCAACACCATCATACTTAAAGTTATCTGTGGCTGTTTTGTTACATCAACTTCACCTAGCTATTAATATATAGGTAACATAAGACGTTCGTCTAAATTTATAATCTCTTCAATTCTCGTCATATTAGGACCACTTCTTCCACCTAGGCTTAAGATTAAGATCCTTGATACCTAATTCACTTAAACCACTGTTCTGATGTCAACTGCAACGTCTCAAAACCTAAAGTAGTGACCCGACTCGATAACTTCGAATTCAATTCATATTCATGGTGGAAGTTATTGGTAACACGCAATTATAAGGATTCAAGAAATCCAGTTTTCTATCAATACAAGACGAATTGTTACAAGTATTTTTGAAAACTCAAAAATTCCCTTAATGAAGGTATATATATATATATAGAACTCAAATTCTAACCAAGTGTTTGGTGGAAAGAATCATGTGAAGGGGTCCCAATACAAAAGAGTTGTGGGCATCCCTTAATGGGATTAAAGCTTTCCTCTTTTTAGTTTTCAGCTCTTTTTATATATAAAGCTTAATTATACGTGTACAAATATATATATATATATATATATATATATATATATATATTCCTTAAATAATATTATATGTGTTTAAATAAGTTAAAGTTTTGGAACAAACTCAAGCTTATCCTGTTAGGTCTACAATGCTTTCAGGATATAATTATACATGTAATGATTAGATTGATAGTGTTGGTGAAAATTAGTGGATAAGTTAGATGATAATATAAATCTTTATTTAAAACAGGGTTTTTTCCAATAAGCTCGAAAAATTAAATAGTTTATGTAAACATGACCTTAACCATTCATTTATTTATCAAACAACCCATATGTTGAGACACGGCCTTTTCTATTAATGTCGTCGGTTTCAAAAAGATATGGGATTATATGTTGTGTACGTACCTTTATACACTTGCGTGTGCATGTGCGTATGTGTATGTGTGTGTATATATATATATGTGTGTGGAGAAAGACAAAAGGGAAAGGAGTTGTAGTGGGTGAGAAGGTGGAAGCATTCAGAGAGAGATCATAGAAGGAAACATGGGTGTTATGAAGGTGCTGCTGCTTCTCTTGCTGCTTATCTTCAGCTTCTCTTTTCCTGCATCATTTGCCAACAATTTGGACTCAGGTTCTCTCTCTCTCTCTCTTCTTTGTTTTTAGACATCATCTCTAGGCTTTTAAAAATTCAGAAAACCGCGGCTAAAAGGTTAAATCTAACCGTTGGAACGACTTCAATGATCCATCTAATTAACGATACCCACGGATTTGAAGTCAAAACCTTTAGGTTACATATATACAAGAGCTTATAAATTCAGGTCATATGTAGGAGGGTGCACCATATGTGTATTGGCTCAATCACCATGGTTCAATGGAAACCAAGACTATGTGAATCTTGGGTTTTGTGGTTCTATATCTGTTGGTGATGAACTAGTTTTCATTCATTTATAAAGTTTGATTTTGACTTTCTAGGGTCAAACCTATTAACTTTTGAGGTTAAAATTGGTGTGGGATTTGTTTCATAGTTAACATCAACAAATTTATATTTGTAGCTTCATTACAAATCTTAAGATGGGTGTTTGAAATTTCCCGAAACATTGAAGTGATTCGTATTAGTTTTGAAGTTGAATGTTCAGGCGTTTGACCTCGTAAACCTATTTTTGCTCGAAAGATCGTACAATCCTTTCGGTAAAACCATTCGTGAAGTTCAATTATTGTTTTGGGACATAAAATAGATTCCTAACAAAAGCATGTTTGTTCTGTTGTTTTTATCTATAAATAAAAAACGGTGTTCAGTAGTTATTTATGTGTTCAATAAAACAATAAAACACAAATCTTTTATGTTGAATACAAACTCATCTCTCAAAATGCAATTTTTATTTTTGTCATTAAACATAAACGACTCTAATGACAATTCCACGACAGGTAGTGGCAACGGAATCGTAAACCAAAGCAAATTTGCCCATGCCGGTGCAAGAGGTGGAGGTGGAGGTGGAGGTGGAGGTGGAGGTGGAGGTGGAGGTGGTGGGCACCCAGTTGGAGAAAACAACAACGGGAATGGTGGCCAGACTACCTCTTCCCAACAAGGAGGAGCAGGCATGGCGGTCATACCTGTATATGCTGCTGCAGGTGCAGCAACAGCCAGTCAACGAAGAAACCATAACAGCGCAATCGACATTTATGCTCGATGTAGGAAAGGCAGGCTTATGATCCTCATAGTCACCGTACTTTTACTGCTTATCGCTATGTAGAGAATTACTAGAGTTTGTTGTGTATCTGTGAATAGGAGTGTAAATGATCTGACTCTATCTATTTATGTATTTGTTTTTGTTATCAATTGGTTCGAATATATGTTCGTTTTTATTCAATTCGAATCATATATTTAAAGGTTATTGTTATTCTCGTATGATATTTGATACTTACAAGTTGCAACTATATATTCCTAAATTCAAAATTTATGAGACCATATAATATAAATGAGAAACCGATTTTTAAGGTTATTAATTAATATAATATCATGTGCTATTTCATATGATTTTTTTTTTAATTTAAGATTATGATTTAGAATATTGATTAACATATATTTGTTTCAAAATGTGTTTGTTTCACAATATGAATCTTTTTAACTTGTTTGTAAAACAAAAGTAACATATAAAAAGGTTTCATATTTGTTAAACCACATACATATGAAACAAACATATTGTAAAACAAATATATGTTCATCAATCCATTAAATGCTAGCCTTAGATGAAAAGGTAATATAAAACAATATCTTTAAGATAAAAGTTCTCACAATTATCACGATATATAGAGTTCTATAATATGATTAAGTACCAAGACTTGATTAAGATAAATATATGTGATACCATTTTTTTATTAACCTGAATATCCAACCCCTTATGCGAGCCGACTAATCCCAGGAACGACCACCTGTTTTGCAGTTAACTCGAAGTCACCGTATTTGAACCTCTGTGGCCACAAGAGGATTTTTATTTCTCCTTGGATTTGAACCTGAAACCTCTTGGTACTTTTGACCTTTAAAGTCAAGCTCAAACCAATCAGGCACCACCATTCGTACCATATTAACAAATAAAGGTGAGAAAATTAGGTATGGAGCAATGAATGGTTTTTATAGTTGGTCAAAAGCAACTTTTTCTTTTCTTCTTGTTTTTTTGTCCAGAGAGTACACACTTTAAGACTTGTAGGTCTATATGTACATATCCACTAGTTATATTATAATTTTTAATTTTTATACATCGTTGTTAAGTATAAAAACTGAGAGGGTCAGAAAACAGAATCTATTGATTACAATAAGTTGTAATAAAACGGTTCCTTAAAAATGGTATTTTTAAGAGGGGGCAATGATTCAAGTATCGCCCCCACTAACTAAATTACTTGTCATGCCATTATTTCAGTTTATCTGTCTGGTAAGCAAGATTGCTTGATTTAGATGGATAATGACGGTTAATGGTGGTGTTGTTTCATCGTGCTAACTAATACAGTTGAAATGCTATATATGTGTGTAGTAAGAACTTTGTCTGATGTGCATGGATAACAACGGTTGATGGTGTTATTTCTAAGTAAAGTTATGAATTAAAACACAATGATAGATGAGTGAAAACCACGCTTGTAATATATGTGTTTGTTTTTCACTTATGTTTTTTATAGTTAATATAAGTGGTGTTACTCTTCGTATTTGATTATGAAATTAAGATATATTTGGTAAGAACTCTTTGCTTTCAAAAATTAAGATGAGCTGTAACATGTACAAGAACGTAAGAGCGTCCCAAATGGGTTTTCATGAGACGAAAGGCTTCTTTAAGAAAAACCATTGGAGAAAGGTGTTTCTTGACGAGGTGGTAGAGAAATGCAGGGGCGGATGCAATGGTAAAAAGGATGAGGGAAGGGACCCCAGTCAAAAAACTCAAAAAAAAAATCCATAGGTTAAAATTTAGGTTTTACATGATTTACCTTTCACTTCCCCTCATTACATTTTTCCACAGGCTCCCAACCCCAATCGAAACCATTACTCTAACAAAAAAAAATCTGTTGAAATCAATAAAAAAACCAAAAAAGTTATTCAAAATCGATAAAAACACTAAAAAAAATCCCTCGAAATCAACCAAAAAACTTTAAAACTCCCTCGAAAACGTTGTAATTAGGTTAAAAACACATCAGACGATTTTGCGGGTTTTTAGTCTACCTTAAAAGTGACCCCACCGAACAAAAATCCTGGATCCGCCACTCAGAAAAGGAAGAACGCTCCTTATTCATTGCACGGTTTGTTTTGTTTTTTGGTAATTAAGCCGCACCATTTAGAATTTTAAAAAAATATAACAATATTAAAAAACCAGAGTAAACTACAAAATTAAAGATTGTTCTTGTGGTTATGAAAATTATGGAATGGGTTGATTCGATTATCTTCGTGGATTGAGTACTTGTGGTTTTAGTTTCATTATTATGAAAGAGTTATAAAAAGTGATGTTTTTTTGTTTATGAATCATTAAGATTGTGGTACACGAAAGGGTTACGAGAGGCTGATGAAATAAGGTGACGATTTTGTAAATTTATCAGATCTGTAATTGTAAATTTATCAAATTGGGGGTGAAAAATGTTAAGTTGGACAAAGTATTAAAGTCAAGGGGTCGGATGTTATTTTCTAAAAGTTTAGGGGTGATGTCAAATATCAACAGGTCCAAACCACCTGTTTTGTAGATTTACAATTGTTCAGATTTGAAACGGGACGATATTAGAAGGATGCTATTGGCTCGTTTAATCAACAAAAAAACCAAAAATTTACAGATTTAAGTAGATGAGACTTCCCTCTACATTTTTTCATACAAGAAGATCGAGTTTTTGCTGAGGAATGAGAGAGAAATCGGAGCTCGAAAGTCCCCATCCGAAATATCGACGATTTAAGGTAAAATTCCTAACTATATTTTGATTTCTTTATATAGTTAGCTTTGTTTTTAAATCCTTTGTCGAACATTAGTAAGCTTATGTCTCAGATTTTTGTTTAGAAGTCCCCTTTTTGCGTTTTTTACTGACTTTCGAGTGGGTTTAGAACCTAAGCTTTAAATGAGCAAATGAGACTCAATACGTAATGACTCTTGTTGATTCTTTTTCCTATGGTTGAGGAAAATCATTTTCTAAAATTTCAGCGAAAAGAAGCAGCAAAAAGGGTCAAAAGACGAGGTCAAACAGTCTAAGAAAGTCTCTGCCAATGACAGCACTCTCGTCGGGTCATAAACCTGAGCCCAAGGTGGATCTTGTGTGGTTTCGGATCAGGGTTTGGGTCCAGATCTGATGTTGCTTGGGCCAATTATTGTTGGGCTTTTGTTTTGTTATGGGCCGATTATTTTTTATGAGGCAAGTGTCAAGCTTCAAAAACCTCGCAAAAAAGGGGTATTTAAAGAGACATGTCTATAAAAAACCGAATATTTTGGTTTTTTTTTATTAATTAGAGATAAAAACAATAAAGTGATTAATGAAAAAGAGTAAATTAGTGATTGGCCTTTTTTTGTACGGTTTATATTTGAAGTTCAAAACTCTTAAAAAATATTTTTTATACATGAAGTACTGTTTATTGATGCATATTACTTAAAATTTAAAATTACAAGTAAATTGTGCATAAATACAACTTATTAAAGCTTCATATTTGAATTCGTGTAACAAACTGCATATAAACCTAATCAAATATTAAATAAACATCTCATTTTAAATATAAAAAATTTAAAATATAATTAGGATAATTATTGGTTCTAAAAGAATACTTAGTTATTATATTTATAAAAAAATATATTATTAAACCTAAATTAAATTTCTTTGTTACTAAACCTAAATTAAATTATAATTAAAAAATTTGAATTAAGAAAATTAAAACAAGAATTTTATAAAGATTAATTTGATACTGATATCGATAAATATATATTTTTTAATTTTATGACATTTTCAATTTTATATTTTATTCAAAAATAAAAACATTATCGTTTTTTTCAAAACCACATAAAATCGTATTATATCGACATAAAAGAGGAATAAAACGAAACACTGAAATCAAGATGTGTCTCGATGCATTGCACGAGTACCCTTTTGAGTATAAATAAAAATAATATTAAAGAAAATTGACAAGCTTTTCATAACAAATTAAAAATACATAATATTAAAAATTAAGTAACATAAACTAATATATTAATTAAGTTATTTATTCATTACGATAATTATTTATAAAATATAAGTATTGAAATTAAGCGACTTTGCAAACCTTTCATCGATTTTAAAAATACATTAATTCAGAGAAATTTCTAGATCCGTCACTGTAATATCAAACAAGTTTAAGTAGTTGGTATGGTATTACCAACCAATTATATTGATACGGTCGGTATTTGACACGTCATTTATATATACGAGAAGAGTACTCGTACAATGCAGCGAGATATATCTTGATTTTAATATTTCATTTTATTCTTTATTTCAGTCGATGTTATAATATGGTTTTACGTGATTTTGAAAAAACGATAATGTTTTTATTTTTTAATAAAAAAATAAATTTGAAGATAACATAAAAATATATCAATATTAGTATCAAATTAACTATTTAAAATTCCTTATTTTTTGTGTAATTTTTTAATTCAATTTTTTTTATTATAATTTAATTTAGATTCAATAACGAAGTAATTTATATTTTTTTTATTAATATAGTTTTCATATAAAAATAATAATTAATTATTGGGCAAAATGCACAAAATAGCAACCTACTTTTGCAAATTTTCTTATTATAGCATTGTACTTTCAGATTTTCTTATTACAGCAATGTACTTTCAAAACATTTTTTATTAGGACATTGTACTTTAAAAAATTTACCTATTATAGAATTGGGTAACCTTTTAAATTAAATTTACCTATTTTACCAAGTTTCTTTGCCACCTCATCGTCCATATAGGCTGTCCACTTGTACGATAATGCTGACATGACATTTTTTATTACAACATTGTACTTTCAAATTCTTTATTATAAGATTACCAATTTCTATTACAACATTATACTTTTAATTTTAATATTTTTATCATTTAAACATTGTAAATTTAACGGCAAAATGCACAAAAAAATATAATATCATAAATTAAACATGTTTATAAAAKATCACTATTTCATGAATAAAAATGTCAAAAAAAAAACCATTCATTCATCAAGTTTATTATAAATTTCATGGTTTACTTTGTAATAGCAAAAACCTAAAGTGGACATCTTTTCAACAAAAAAAAAAAACCATCCTATTCACATTCGTCTAACAATGTTATTTAATCAAGTGGAATCGCCTTGTCACAACTACTACCTTCTCCATCTTTCTCAACGGTATTTTTCCGTAGGTTGTTCAAAGTTAACCTTTCACTTGGCCTTCTTTTTTTCGGGATGAGCTTTGGTCGTGATTCCACTTTAGATGGTTTCTGTTCAAATTAGTGAACAAATTAGTATCAATTAATATATAAAATTAGTATGAAACTCGAAGATTTTACATTACCTTTTTAACATCTCTTTGTGAACCCGTTCCGCCTCGTGTTCCGCCTCTGTATATGTTCAATTACAGTGGGAATGATAGTAGAAATTATCGTGATGTATCCAATTTAACACCGTGAATATCGTCCTGGAATTGACAATTTGCTAGTACTTCTCATTGGTGGAATTCCTATTGCAATGCCAACAGCAAAGTTTTTAAATGAGTGGATGCAGATATGGTGGTTTTGATGGTTGTCGTTGCTGATTGGTATGAAGCATGTGTGCCATTCTTCTTGTTGGTTGAGTATGCCTTTCATTTGCTTCTAATTTGGTCCACTTATTTTTGTTTTATCGATCTTTTCTCCTAAAAGTTTCAGCCAGCATGTGTGCGATTGAAGGATTGAAGGTGAACGAAGAGTCATTAGGATGTGAACGAACAGTCTGAAACAATGAGAAGGATTGAGCGTTTTTCAGTTTCAAATATTGTTTTTGAATTAAATATTTCTTTTAAATGACACGTACGATATCCACGTGTAACAGGTTATCCTACATGGTTTCCATGTCATTTTAAATTTGACACGTCAACAAAAAAAAAAAAACTTGTTCAAAAGGTAACAGGTTACCCAATGCTATAATGGGTAAATTTTTGAAAGTACAATGCCCTAATAAAAAATGTTTTGAAAGTACATTGCTGTAATAAGAAAATCTGAAAGTACAATGCTATAATAAGGAAATTTGCAAAAGTAGGTTGCTATTTTGCGCATTTTGCCCTTAATTATTTTGTTAGAACTCGATAATTATGCTAATTATATTTTAGGTTATTTATATTTAAAAAATGAGATATTTATCCTCTATTTGATCATGTTTATCCGCAGTTAGGTACACGAATTCAAATATTGAGCTTTAATAAGTTGTATTTATGCATAATTATATGTAATCTTGAATTTTAAGTAATATGCATTAATATACRGTACTTCATGCATAAAAAATTAATTTTTAAGAGTTTTTGTTAAATGCTTTATATTATAATATATATAACATTAATATATTATAATATAATATATAATCTTTTAATTTTAATATAAAAGGACACTTGACGTCATTAAATGGCTGTATAAAAAGAGTTTGTAGTTCACGAATAAATTGACGAAAATACCCCTTAGTAAACGGATTGAAGTTAACTTTGTTAGGTATAGGGACTCAGAACGCAAGGAAATACAAACCACAAGGACAACCGTGCACTTTTTTTTTTTTTATAAAAGAGGGATGTATCTAGATTCTGATAAAACCAGAAGGAGCTATGGTGTAATTTACTCGTAATTATTATGGGCTAAAGTCAGAAGCATCTCGAATTCTCGATTCCGAAACTCAATCAGTCACACAAGCCGACGCCACATATAACATCAAAAGCCGGCCCAACCGGGTCTAGCCTTTCTCCTCCTATATACACCGACTCCCATCGCCGCCTCACCGACTTTCTTCGCCGCTTTGACTTTCGCCGATCAAACAAAACCCTAAACCTCACCGTTAACAATGGCAATGAGATCCGCCATTATCTCACGGTTGGCTCCTTTTCGTAGTGTCACGGATTCGTCCAGTTCTCGTTCGTCCTTTCGTTTTTTCAGCGATCAAGGTCGCGTCCTAAGCGAGGAAGAACGCGCTGCTGAGAACGTCTACATCAAGGTATTTGTGTATGAATTAAATTATATAGACTGCAGTAATGATGATTGATTAGGGGTGTTATATGAATACGTATGTGTCCATATTTGTGTCTCTGTCGATTGAAGTTGTATAGAGCTGAGTGATCGCTGATTGACTTAGGGTATTATTGTTTTGTTACGTAGAAAATGGAGAGAGAGAAGCTGGAGAAGCAAAAACTGAAGGAGCAAAAGGAGAAAGCCGAGAAAGAGAAGGCTGAGAAGGTAAAATAGTGGTTCAAGTTCTGTTTCTTAGATATTAATTATCTATGACTTAACAGATGTGATTTATGATTTTCTTCAATCATGATGTGTCACTGTTTGCTCACACTCTTGCACAAGCCCAGGGTCTCTTATCAAAACGGCCACTCTACTCTTTTCGAGTGGGATTTACCGGTTCAGTTTGGTTTGGTCGAGCTAGCTTGATGGATTTATACAGGGGCTTCCGAAAGACATTATTCTGTCTTGTATTTGAACAAGTCGCTAGAGGCCCTGTTATAAATCATATTAAGACTATAAATCGTCTGAAACGAACAATAAACAAAATAAAAATATTAAAGTTCATGTTATCTTAAACATTTTCCAAATTAAAACAATAATTATGCTTGACAAAGTGAGAAAGAATATTGGAGAAAGAATATTGAAGTTTGATCGGCAAGTTATGAAGTTAAATAGCCGCTTTTGATTTAAAAAGATTAGATAGGTCTTCATTAAGGCAGGTTTACAGGTTGGGCTATATAAATCAAGACACCAAGCACAAGTAAAATTTTAGGGGCATGGTTCAAAAACCCATATTTAACATGTAATAGTTCACTTTTTTCCAGAGACTTGAGTAAAACTATAGAATATCATACACGAAAAACAATCTAAAACGGTGGAAAATGAGGTGCCATAATCAGTTTACCTTGTAGTAATTATCTCTTAGACTTAAAAAAACGACTAAAATATAACAATGTTGGAAGTTTGATTCTCAATACTACTGACTTGATTAGCTATCATACAAAATAAGGGTGTCACTGATGTGTATATTGATAAGAAGAGTTGGTACGCATAGGTATAAATATAGACGTATAGTTGTATACATATATGTGGATTGGGTATATTACCAAAATATTTTGATGTTCGAGGAGTGCTTGATTCAGTAAAGGGTGGCAGATTTTTCCCATAGACAAACAGCTTCTTTCCAGGAAGTTTTTTTTTTTTTTTTTTTACCTTTTTCTTCTGCAATCTTGTTGACTTGACCATTTTTTGCTTATGGATCCACGATTCGGTTCAAAATTGCTATTTCTAGCTTCTCATGCGATATCTCTTTTTCAACAATTGCTGGGTGTTGGCAATCTTTTTTCACTATGGTAAATCAGTGTAAGGGGTTGTTAGGTTGAATTTTCTTTAGTCCTATATGGATTAAGTTGTCTGTAGAAATTTAATTGTCTGTATGTATTAGGCTAACCGGTTGTTTAGTTGCTGTGCTGAATAATGTAAATTACTGTTTTATCCCTTTTTTCATTTCATCAAACACCTTGCGTTATCTCATCAAATTTGAGAATTGAGATGAACCCATAAAATTTACAGCAGAGGTAAATTCAACTCCAATTTAAAGAAAATATTGTCATGATTTTCAATCACACCCAAATCTACTTTAAAAAATTACGTAAACTTATCTAATTATGTGAGCTTTGATGTTCAAGAATTAAAAAAGTTAACCTAATTCAAGAAACCACCGCCTCATTTGAGGTTCAACCACTACGAATACCAAAAGAGAAACGCCAACAAAGAAGAGGTGCAATTGAAGAAGTAAGAAGAACCAAGGTTGATCTTTATCACTGGTGAAATCAAAGGAACAAGGAAGAGGAGAAATCAAAGAAACAAGGGGAGGTGAATTCGGAGGAACAGATCTGAGGCCTGGAAGGTGTTGAATCAAACAACAGTGTTGCTGCTGTTGTCTCTCCTTCATCCTGAGCAATGGTGGCTGTAGAGTTGGGCTAAAAAAGAGGTGAAAATTGTAGGGTAAGGGTAGATGTGGAAATTTAATGGCCGAGTGTAAAGGACACATGGTTTCTAGCTGACCAATTAAGCCCTCGGCTGAGCGAATAAGCTGCAACCGAACGGCTTTTTATAGCTGAGCGAATAAGCCGTAACCCTTATACAGCCCATTAAGCTCCTATTGAACAGCCCCTAAGATATTGGAATACTAATTTGGATCCTACAATGATTGTCAAGCCAAGTTACTTGATACTAGATAGCAGGCTGGTGGTTTGCTCTTCTTCTTTCTATAGGGACTTGTATAACAAGAAACAGCTAGTTCTAAGGAGCTATCGAGCAAAGTTCTATTTGGCAGGGTTTGAAATCCCATAAACCTATGTTCCTTTTCTTATACTGTGCAGTAAATATGCATATTACAAATGTTCTTGATTTGAAACCGTGGTTGTGTATGCTTGTTTGTTCTAATTCCAATTGATTTATCGTTGACCCTTTTTCTTCCAGAAACCTTAAGGACCAGGAGATGCTTATAAATGGCTGACATGGGTTGACTGTCACTCTTGCTGCTGCTGTTGCTGCTGCTGTTGCTTGCAAGTAGTACAGAGAAATAAATGTATGTGATATTGAAAAGAACTCGCTGTGTGTCTGTAAAGAGTGTATGATACCTCTGGATTGTTAAATTGTGATGCTGTTTGTTGTTCTGTTAATCTTGCTAGGCTCTACCATTTGGGCCAAAAGCAAAGACCGTACATGTTTCCCTCTTCGACCACTCTGTGTGGGACATTGGATTCGTTTGGTATGTTCTCTTAGGCTCTAGACGAATTTAGCACGACACTGATAGGGTTCTTTCTGTTTTGATGTTTGTAGAGACTTGATGTGTTCTTGGAATCACGAGTACTTTTCCTACCTTTTTTTTCTAAGGCACGCGTAATCTGCCGCGATCTTTGTTCTGTTTTGGGGGTCTGATCGTGTCGGGTTCTTTTTGTTGTATTGTTGGGTGTTCTTTGTAGCTGTGTCGAAGTTCTATAGTGTTGCAGTCGGTAGATGTTTTGATTGCAATTCTAAGGAATACCCAAAACGTTATTTTGATATTAAAGCTTTTGCCCTTGGGATAAATGGTTTTAAACTATGGGAGTGGGTTTGCAACTGATTGTTATAAAGGTGTAGAAGAAACTTTTGGGGATATATGCATTTAGGGGACATTTACCTAATCGCTTACCCGGTAAGCGTTTATCTAAACATTATCACTTACTTACCAGGTAAGATTTTAGTCCACGACAACATCGGATGCAACAATTTACCTGGTACGCACTAACCGTGGTAAGAGCTATCATTCTCACTTACCGGGTAAGACTTTCGATCCTTGTTTCGCTCTTATCGGGTAAGATTCTTGGTCTTTACTATATTCATCCGGTAAGTTAACGTAATTTGGTAAGTGCTTATCCGAGTAAGCGTTCGGTAAATGGCCTTTTAGATAAAGTCGGTTCAAACAAGGAGAAGGTCAAAATGAGAGAACATGAGGACGACCAATTACAGGTGTAAAATCACATATGATTATGTACGCCCTTGGTTGTGACATAGGTAGCAGGCCAAGTCGTACGTGCACCCACACGTTGACCATGTAACATAATCGCATGTAATTGTGATTGGCGGTTCTTGTGTTAGATTATTTTGACCTTGTTTTTATTTGATCCTCCTTTGGTGATATTGTTATACAATTGCTACTTAATATAGCTCTCTCAATGGTCTTGAATTCAACGGTCACAATGCTCCTTTAGGTCTTGAGGGTAGAGATTCAAATTTTACATGTAAGGGTGGGTATTCCAAATCCCCAGTTTGGTGGGTAACGGGTCATATCTGGAATGGGGTCGGGATGGCATTACCTGCTGCCAATCAAATCTTGATTAAATTTTTTATTTTGTTTAATATATGTATATAGTATGTGTATGAATAAATAATTAATGAACCTTATTTATCTTCTATAAATATTCAAATCATAATAAATAAATTTTCATCATTTCTATAAATATCTCAATTAATTAGGTTGCATTGGTTGTACAAATGGACATTGTTGTATTTGAAATATACCCTATATATATATATATATATATATATATATATATATATATATGAACCA